ACATCTGTGTGCGCAGCCCGACCTGAGCAGGACGGCGTAAGCTTCAGGCGGCACATGAGCCCCGATAAAGAAGATGAGCCCGGCCTTGTAAGGCTTCGGCCCCTCATAGACCCACCAGCTGAACTCCTCATCAAACCTCGTCGTCACGCCGTCTCCCTCGTTCAGAGAAGACTCATCGTTCAGCCAATCCCGCCCAGGCACCGTCACTTCGGCGTAGTACAAGCCAAAGATCATCGCTGACAGCCCCGCAACCCATATCTTTGGCCCTGGGCAGTAGAGAATGCACTCCGGTGACACAGACGCGTCGCCCTCAGCAGGGGCAGGGTCCACGAGTCGAGAGTGGGGGAATGAGTCGTATTCCACTGCAAGGTTCTCGTGGATCATCAGACTGGCCTCGGCGAACTCCAAAGCAACGATGTTGTGGTAGAAGGTGGTGGAGAAGGTCCCCAGGATCATGGTGTGGGTGATGTTGTCGCGAGTGGCGAGCCGGGCGTTGGGGGCGAACTCGGCTTTGTCTTTGGCCAGCAGCAGCGGGACGTCTCTCTCTTCGGGATCGCAGGGCACCTCTGACCATGAGAAGTCTTCGTGCGTGGTGTTGGCGAAACTCTCAAACAGCGTCTCCTGCACACACAACACAGACAGGGCGCGGGCGGGTTGTCTGTCTGTCCTTGCAGCCATCTAAAGCTGACCAGTGGGAGCCCATCCAGCCTCTTGGCGATCTCTCTGGCCGGGTACACCTCGTCGTCGTCGCCCGCAAACACCTGGACCAGGATGTTCTTGGCCACCAGATCGACACTCTTGTCCGGATAGCCCGCGATAAGCGACAGGCCCTGAATCGACGCAGCAACAGAGCAAACGTCTCAACCGACATATCGCGCTTGCCTTGACTCGTGGATGGTGGGTCTCGGCGAAGATGGACGCGGCGAGTGCCCCCTCCCCCACACCGATTAGCGCCCAGGTGTCGAGCTCATATCTGTTGAGCAGCTCCACAATGAGCCCGGCACACGCCTGGCAGGGCAAAGGCGCCTTCTTATACGACTGCCTGTCCAGACACGGTGTGCAGGGCGGCAGAATGATGAGGGTCGGGCCAACGGGGACACCTCCCTGCCCACACACACATAAGCAGAGAGGGGCATTGTCTGTCTGCAGCCATCGTCGTTAGCACGTACGTACGTACCCGAATTTCGACCCCTCGTGCCGTCATCCGGTGGGCGAGAGGGGCATAGGAGCGATAGTCGATGTGCGGCTCCCCGATCAGCACCGTCCCTCCCCTGAACGCGTCATCGCCAAGGGCGGCGAAAGGTTCCGGAAGCAGACCTCTGCACCAACACGACACGACAACCACACTTCTCACACAGAACGAACGAACGGGCTGAGTGTGTTCCAGGTACCTGAAGACGTATGCGTCGAGGTCCAGCGTCACCTCGACGGTCTCGCTTGAGTTGAGGAAGGGCTCCACCGCCTTTATCGGGCGGCACAGGCGCTTCACGCTGCCCTCACTCTGTCCCGCAGTGCCATCCCTCTCGTCTGTAGTGGTCTGCAGGAAGTCAAGCAGGTCGGACAGCACCTCAGTGACCGACTCATCATCATCATGGTCACTGCTGCTGCTGCTGCTGCTGCTGGTCGCTTTTGCTGCCGGGTAAGAAGGACACAAAATTGGCAGCGCCAGCAGCAGGCAGGCAAGCAGGAGGGCTGTGGCAGCGGGGAGCATCTTGACAGTGGTCTTTGGAAGGTGCTGCTGCGTGGAAAGACGAAAAATGACACAAAAATGCCTCCTCGGCTGTACGGTGTATGATGCTGGCCGCAACGGCCAGGAACGGCTGATCGTTTGGTTGATCGGCCTTTTTTCTCAAGAAGAGGTCAGAGCAGGCGCCGACTCGTGTCAGTCGCGTCAGCATCCGTCATGATCTCTCCCACAACGGAGAGGAAGACAGAGAGGTCGCCTCCACGCACAAGGAAAAAAAAACTCTCTCATCAGCAAATAAATGCTGGTACGACCCATGCACCATGGACGGACACTTGTCCATCCATCCATTCATCCATCCATCCATCCATCCATCCAGCTCTGAACTTCGTGAAGACGCCGCCGCTTGGGCGTAGGCAAAAATCGTTGGCTGCTCTCTTTCACACATACACATATGCAATGGAAGACACCGCCCATGCCAAGGTACGTGGATAAGAAGGCCATGCACCACACACGCAACCCACGCGACACAAAGGCCTCCCTGCCGATCGACCGATCGTCGACCTCACGCCGTCGCGCTCACACGTGTTATGCTTCAGGCCTTCTTGTTCTGCAGGCACAGCACACACAGGCACAGATGGACAGGATGAAGCTCCTTTCGTGACGCGTGACGCCCCCGGTGTGGTGTGTGGCCTGCCCTTCCGTCAATCCCGTCTGACCGTTTCTTCCTCTGCCTTCTTCTTGAGGGCCTTGGAGCGGATCTTCATGTTCTGGGGCAGCTGATACCTGATTGATCAACGAGTGCAGCATTATCATTGCCATCAGTGCACCACACATTGCAGTACAGTGGGGGGAGGTCACTCACTTGGTCCAGAGGCTGTAGGGGAACAGACCGATGATCGAAAACTTAAAGAAATGGTAGAAAAGACCACACACACACACACACACGCGCCCGTACGTGTAATGCTCAGCTGCTGAGCATGTGCCGCCCACCATGACTTGGTGCCAGAGGTATGGCGAGAGTGTTGGCTGCGTCTGGCTGTCGCCGTTCTCCACTGCACTGATGGCCGACTTGGCGTACCTGTGTCATCACGCCACGCACACCAAACACACACACACCAAACACACAACGGTGCGCGTCGCGTGGTTGTCTCTCTGTCTGTATGCCCGTGTGCGTCCCAGCATACCGCTCAGGTGACGGCACGGTGAGCGACGCCTTGCGGATCTTGGCCATCTTGGTCTGCACCAACAGGGGCACGTGACACTGGACCTGCACACGCACACAACCACAACCACACCACACCACACACGATAATGACCGACCAACCGACATGCTACTCGCTCCCCCCTCTCTCTGTCTCTCTGTCTCACAATGATGTTCTTGTGCTCGCACTCCGCCTGGAGGGCCTGTGCAAAGGCGTCGGAGCAGGCCTTGGTGGCGGCATAGGCGGCGTACAGCGGGTAGGAGGGCAGCTTTGAGCCGGCCGAGCCGACCATGACGATGGCGCCCCTCTTGCGCTCCACCATGCCAGGGTAGATGAGGTGCGTCAGCCGCAGGGCCGACCGCACGTTGACCTCTATCAGTGTGTCCACAAAGGAAGACTCCACCTCGTTGTAGAACTGATGATAGATAGAGGGAGGGGCACACGGGCAGCGAGCGTGTAATGTGCTTGCTGCTCATCCCTCTCTCTCTCTCTCTCTCTCTCTCTCCCCCCCACCACCCCCTGTGTCCTGTTGAGACCATGGCATGTGGGTAGCTGAGTCCGACGTTGTTGACGAGGACACCGATATCGAGGCCCCTGATGGCCTGCTCGATGGTGGCATACAGGCCGCTCGACGGCTGCCCGCTGAAGTCCACCTGCACCGTGCGGACCTCGCCCTTTCCCTTGAACCCGGGCAACGACTCAATCTACGTGACGCACAACATCACACACACCGACGCACATACATCATGCCATGCCATGGCATGGCATGCTACAGCTGCCTGACCATCCTCCCCCTCTGGGCACCTCTGTCTTGGTGTCGGTGAGCTTCTCTTCATTGCGGGCCTGCACACACACACGCGGATCGGATCCACACACAGATCTGGTCAACCTGATCGCCCCGTCCGTGTGTAGCATTACCATGAGGAGCACGTTGAGTCCCTTCCTGGCGATTTCGATAGCCATGGCCCGTCCGATGCCGTCCGTTGCGCCCGTGACCACCGCCCACTCGCCCAGCGACCTCAGCTTCCGCTTGGGCGTCGACAGCGCCATCAGGGACGGCACGGCAGTGAACAGGAACCATCTGATCAGCACGATAGACCCCACCAGGGTGCACGAGAAGATAGCGCACTGCTGCAGAAACGCTAGCATCCTCCTGGCTCTGCAGTCCCTCCAAAACGGGGATCGCCGAGATCTGCAAGCTTAGCCGATTCGCCCTCCCCCTTTTTCCTGAGCAGCATACCATTGATGGAATGTGGAGTCACCACCGCCCCGCAGATCCGCGAATCCATGAGTCAACGTCCCACCAGGCAGACGCCGCCACCTGCGCCGCTCGTCAGACCTCTGCCACTGCTGCTGGTGCTCATGCTCGTCGGTGGGGAAGTGCTGCATGGGATGGCCATGGCTCCAAGGCCTCTCACAACACCACTGAGGCGGACTGCTCATCATGACGGCGGCGGTGGTGGGAGTGGGAGTGCATTCCTGTCGGTAGGAGATCTGCTCACGGGGTTGCGGCACACGGCTGCACGCAGGAGGGCCGTGCAGAACAGACCAACGGTGGGTGACTCTGCATGGGATGCTTCTCGGCGGTCGGTTATGTTGATTACTCTGTGCGTGTCTGTGCGCGTGTGTGTGTGTGTTCGGCGCGTTCAGGTCCCCTGGTCCGCTCATCAGAAGGCGTCTGCTGTCTATCCAGTCACCTCGGACGATATCGGCCTCAGCGGCAATGGAGGGCAGCCGCCATCAGAACCGCCAGCAGACGGTCCCACTGGCGGAGCGGCTGCCGGCAGCACGGCCGATCCACCGATCGGACTCGACGCCATCGTCTCGAGGCTGGGTGGGTGCATGTGATGTGACAGAGAGAGAACGGCATCACATCCACCCCACCACTCATGAGTGAGTGTGTGTGTTGTCTGGTCAGCATCTCGCGGTATGGATCGGTCGAGGCTGCCGCGTGACATCTGGGTGGCGGCGGACAAGGGGCTGCTGACCGAGTCGCAGTTCGAGCGGTGGCTGGGCATCGCACAGATTGTCGGGCTGGGCGGGGTGCTGTCCAGGGTCAGACCCCTCTATGAGCGGGTTCTCGCTGACCCGCAGTTTTGGTGAGTGAGCTGACTGACATGGAGGAAGGACCATAGATGTGTTTTCAAGTGGGTCTGTCTGTCTGTCTGTTCGTTGGTCGCAGGTACAAGTTTTGGATCCAGCAGGCGATAGGCAATGGCACAGCGCTGCTGGGTGGGTGCGAAGGGAGAAGGAACCACACCACACGACACACGCACAGACAAACCGCCCGCTGCTGCAGTAAGTGCGCTGTGCTGTCTGTGTGTGCAGCTGAGATTCAGACGCGCGGCAAGAACTTTTTCAAGGAGATCGACTACGTCATGGGCCACCTGCTGCCCGGCCTCATTGTCGAGGGCGCCTTCGTGTGGCTGCTAGCGCCACGGTTCTCCACCGCCCACCTGCTCAAACGGCCACAAGACGCCCTTCTCATATCGGTCAGCACCTTCCCTCTCCCACCCCTCTGCCCCTCTTCCCCATTCCCTCATGTGTGTGTGGATGTGATGTGTGTGTTTGTCAGGGTGGTGCGGCCGCTGCCGCCGGCTCGACGACTGCCCCTGTGCGGGGGGTGAAGGGCGCTCTGGCCGGCGCCATGAGGGCGTACAGCAAGTGGGCCGACAAGCTGCCCAGCCACATGTTCATCTCCGGCCCGTTCTCTGTCGCCGAGCGGCTGGGCTCCCTGGTCAACACGGCGGGTCAGTACCTGCTGATCGGCACCTCGTGCGGCGTCTCAGGGTACGGTCTGACGCTCGGGCTGGTTGGCCTCCGCGAGCGCCTCACCGGGCGGGCGTCAAATGTGGAACTGCCCCCACTGTGGGGCGGCACCTTCGGATGGGCCACCTTCATGGCCTTCAACAGCAACCCCAGGCAAGCAGAGAGAGAGAGACAGAGAGAGAGAGAGATCTGTCGCATGGTGTCTGTCTGTCGATTGGTGCAGGTTTCACTTGTGTGAGGGTCTGGAGTTGTCTCTGGCTCGTCTGTTGAGCGAGAAGGACCCCTTTCAGAACGGCTGTCTGCGGAGCGCCATCGCGGCGCTGCGGTATGGCAACAACTTCTTCGGCGCTAAGTCGTACATCTGGTGGAACCGCAAGCTGGGCCTCCAGCAGGTCATCGAGCCGATATGAGGGAAGGAGGGAGGGATGTGCTTGTGGCTGTGTGTGTGCGTGTGTGGCTGGTGTTTCTGAGATATCGACGTCACCTGTCCCGTTGGCCCTTTATCTGTGGGTGGATCAGACGGCCAATGGCTGGATGGATGGATGGACGAATGGCGGACGGGGGATGGGGGGGGCTCACTCGGTTTAACAAAGACGGAAATGGCATTTACTTGAGTCCCTGTGCGTGCGGTCATATGGATGTCTTACGTCCCTCATTCAGTCAGGCAGACAGACACAGCATACAGCCACATCAGCACAGTGGAAAATCGATCAGCCAGCCAGTCAGTCAGTCCAGTGACAACCAGCAGACAGACAGATGGGAACGCGAGAAGCAAACGGGGGGATGGGGAGAGAGTCCAGTTTGTGTGTGTGTGTGCGGGCATAGGAAGGTGATCAGCGCATGCTGCACTACTGCTCCCCGTCCGTGGTGCTTGCGTGCGTCACGGCTGCTGTGGGCCGCGCCGCTTCCTCGTCCTCATTGTCATCCTCATTGTCACCTTCGTCATCCTCTTCCTCCTCGTCTGCACCCAACACACACACACACACGCACAGACAGAGAGTAAACACACACACACACACAGAGAGAGAGAGAGTCCATTTCCTTACCTTCATCATCCCCCTCCTCGTCTCCAGAGTCGTCTTCTTCAACTTCATTTTCGTCGTCTTGATTGATGTCCTCCCCTGCCTCGTCCGCAGCCGGCTGCTGGTCCTGGTCGGGAGGCTCGTCGGCCATCTCCTCCAGCACCCTGTCCACCGTCGAGCGAATCAGCTCCTTCTTGTCGCTCATGTCAGTGCCGAAATACTCGGTCAGCTGGTCACTGACACACACACACACACACACACACACAGAGAGAGAGAGAGAGAGAGAGAGAGATACCACAGGAAAAGGGCCCACGTCGCTGAGACTCTAGATAGAGTGTCCATCCCCACCACCCCCACGGCATTCACCGTATTCTCTTGATGGAAAGCTGCTCAAGGGAGGTGTTTCGCACCAAGACACGTATCTTCGCCTCAATATTGGCGTCAGAGGGCTGCTCAGCCAGCCGGGCATGACTGACGGCACCACCAGGCTCACCACCCTGGTCCTCCCCGCAGGCCTCCGAGTGTGTTCGCTTCTTGAGGTTGCTGGAGTGGTGCTGTTCGGTGGGGGGGCCTTGTCCCTTCTGCTTTATCGACATTTCCATGCTCATGGGATCTCCTCTCGCGTGTCCAAACACTCTGTTTCCTGAGAGAGTTTACCGTTCAGTTAAACAGAGCCCTAACTCCATAGCTCGCAGTCGCAGAGTGTGAAGCGGCCCTTTTCCGCTGCAGCACACCCCATGGGGCGCGTTATCAGATGTAAGGCGATAGACAGGAAACAACAGAGAGATCTCTCACTCACAGCGAGCCAGGCAGCCGCAGGACCCCCCCTCACGCACACACGCACAGCCAGGAGGAATGGGGTGCACACGAGAGGCCTCGATGGCCTCCACACCTCACTGGCGCGATGCGTCCCCCTCACACACGTGTCTGTCTGTGTCTGTGTCTGTCTGTCTGTGTCCGTGTGTGTGTGTGTGTGTGTGCAGCCCAGCGTAAGGGTCGTGGGTCGGTGTTCAAGTCCCACACCCACCACCGCAAGGGACCCGCCAAGATGCGGGTGCTCGACTACGCCGAGAGGCAGGGGTGAGTGAGTCGATCGTACCTACACCTTGACAGGGAGGGAGGGAGGGAGGGAGGGAAGACTGTATGCTGGCTGATGTGTTGCCGTGCCGTGTCGTGTGTGTCGTTAGGTACACCAAGGGCATCGTCAAGTCGATTATTCACGACCCCGGCCGTGGCGCACCGCTCGCCGAGGTACGCGCGACAGACAGACACACAGACAGAATAACAACAACCTTTCACCACTGTGTGTGTGTGGTGTGCTGTGGTGTGTTGTGTAGGTTGTGTTCCGCGACAGCACTCGCTACGGCATCAAGAAGGAGCTCATGCCCGCCGTCGAGGGACTCCACACCGGACAATTCGTCTACGCCGGCAAAAACGGTAGGTAGACTCACATTCCTCCCCCTCCCTCCCTCCCTCCCTCCCTCCCTCCGTCACCCTACGACGCACTCCTTCTCTCTCTCTCTCTCTCTCTCTCTCTCTCTGTTGTGTGTGTCAGCTCACCTGTGTGTGGGCAACATCCTGCCGGTGGGCAGGATGCCCGAGGGGACGGTGGTGTCGTCTGTGGAGGAGAAGGCCGGCGACCGCGGCAAACTCGCCAAGACGGGAGGCGTCTACGCGACGGTCACCGGCCACTCGGAGGACGGCAAGAAGACCCGCGTCCGCTTGCCGTCGGGCTCACGCAAGACGCTCCCCAGCACCTGCCGCGGCATCGTCGGCATCATGTCGGGCGGACAGCGGATTGACAAACCGATGCTCAAGGCCGGTGAGTGACTGACTGAGTGAGCCGTGACTTGGGCACGCGCACACACAGACGGTCTGAGCGTGGTGTGCAATGCAATTGTGTGTGTTGCGGTGTTGTTGCTCAGGGAATAGCTACCACAAGTATAAGGCGAAGCGCAACTGCTGGCCCAAGGTGCGCGGTGTGGCCATGAACCCCGTGGAACACCCACACGGAGGAGGTACGCGGTGCACACCAACAACACAGGACAGCACAGGACAGCACATACACACCCAGCCCCCCCTCCTCCATCCCTCCCTCTCTATAATGATGCGATGCGTGCAGGCAACCATCAGCACGTGGGTCATCCCACCACCATGTCGCGCATGGCTCCACCGGGGCAGAAGGTCAGCCAGCCGCCGAGCACCCACACCCACACCCACACCAAAGCTCCATGCACCTCCCTGTCTGTCTGTCGGTCTGTCTGTCTGCCTGTGTGTGTGCGACTGTTCATCTGTGTGTGCAGGTCGGTCTCATCGCGGCGCGCCGCACGGGTCTGCTCCGCGGTGGCAAGGGCAAGGAGAAGGACTAAGCCACAACCAACAACCAGCCATGCACCGCCGCCTGCCCCACCGACACACACACACACACACACTCACACATATGGATGGTGTTGCCTGCGTGTGTGGATGTGGTGTTTTGGTGGTGGGTGGGTGGCTGGATGGGTGAGTGGGCGGAGCTTCGTGTGTCTGTGCGTGATGCGATGAAGGCGGCGGACAAATTGGTGGTGAGGTGGGATGGGTGGAGTGATGTGACTGACGACGGACAGGGCTCTGTGAGGCCTTCCTTCCGTGAGTGTGCGTGTCTCCATGTGTGTGTGTGTGTGTGCTCCTTTTCAATCCGTGAGGCGAGATCATAGGATATGGCACGTTGAAGTGAAGTCGGGGTGGCTCGCTGCACCTTTCCCCTGGTGCGTGCGCACAGAAAGAGCCGCTGTTCAACAACACGCAAGACATACACTAATCACACACACGCACACGCACCTTCTGCGATTCGCATAAGTCTCTGTCTGTCTGTCTGTCTGTCTGTGTCGCTAAGTCAGTCAATCAACGTCTCTAGCCAACGGGCGTCTGCGGCTCCCTCCCCCCAGCACACTCCACCACACGGCTCCACCGCTTGAACACCGTCCCAGTGTCAACAACCACACCACCACCACCACCATCACCACCATGCAGCACCACTGGCCTCTGAGCCGCCGCTTTGCCCACACTCGCCAACACAGGCTTTGACAAGAAATAGTCGTTGATTTTCTGAATGCACTGCCGGCGATGCTCCCTCCATCGAGTGTCGAGCACCCACATGGCCCCTCCTTGTGTCTGTGCCCATAGGGGTGAGCGGTGGACAGTGACGTTGACGGCGAGAGGTGGGAGGGAGGTGGCGTAGGTGACGAGGGCGTTGGTGTAGAGGTCGTCGCAGTTGAAGAGCGAGTCTACCAGACTGGTCATGGCGCTGAGCAGACACACACACAGACAGACAAAGGGAGGGAGGGAGGGAGGGAAGAAGGGAGGGCATCCGTGTCTCTCTCTGTCTGTCCGTCTGTCTGTCTGTCTGTCTGTTGGGGGGTGGAGGGGGGGTGTTACGGGTGGTTGGTATATTCGTGGAGGTATTGTGTCTTGATGAGCCAAGGGTGCGGCAGGAGCATCGAGTAGCTCCTGCCCATGAGGCACACGGGCCTCTCCTCCGCCGCACACTCGTCCCAATGCAGTGCCATCTCGTCCATGTCTGCACGCACTCACCACACAGAGAGGCACAGAGAGAGGTGTCTCCTCTCTCATCAAGTAAGCCACCTTTGTTGATGTCGAGACGTTCGATGAAGGCCCCAATCAGCTGGTCAGGGTGTGCCCGCCTGACAAGCATCGGATTCACAGAGCAGCCAGCGTCGAGAGCCATGCATCTTCATCTTCACCCACCAGGCGTCCACCAGGCAGCGCAGGTCGGCCTCCTCCAGCCACATGTCATCGTCCTGCCAAACAAGGGCAAACATGCTCACATTCTCAGACCACGACATGGCCTTCGTCCTCCATCCATCCATCCATCCATCCATCTAGCCTGTATGAGGACGCCTGGTGTCTTGATTAGCGGCCACACGGCAAATCGGTTCTGCCAGAAAAGAGAAGAGACACCTTAGTGTGTGGGTGTAGTGGCTGTGGGTCTGCCGGGCTGGCTGCCTGCCCACGTTCATGGAGTTCTTCTCTGCGTTGATCAGTCTGATAGGCACGGAGCCCTCCGTCCTTTGAATATCGCCAAAGTGCCGCCCAAACGGGTCCTGGGTGTCACTCAGAGGCCGGTCCGTCTGGTTGTTCCATACTGACACACACACGGACACACAAAAGTGAAGAGGGGGGGGGGGTTGCTGCCTCGATGCTCGCAACTCCCTCCCCCCCTCTTTATCTCACCGAGTAGGATCTCTCCAAAGAGGTGCGGCATTTGTCTGTACCGGTCGAGCACGTCCAGCACCACGGGCAGCCTCGCACGCAAATGGGCCATCATCACAACCGTCACCTTCTCCCCACCCCCACCCCCACCCCTCTGTCTCTGTCTCTGTCTCTTTCTCTGCAGCAGTTTGAGGCTCTTGCTGATGCTCTTCTGGCCGGGCTGGTAATTGGGGACCCCCATGTAGATGGTGTGGGTGTCGCTGTAGATGCTGTCGAGCGCATCGACGGTGGCTGTGGCCGCCTGTGTCTCGTTGTGTGGGGCTGCGACGGTGGCTGCGGCTGCTGTGCTGATCTCGGTGGTGGCACTGCGGGGGCTGGGAAGCGCCACTCGCCTTTTTGTATGTGCAGCAGAGAAGAGACGCAACATAGATAGCGGCATTTTTCAGGACACATTTCGGTGTGCTTACTTCCCATGGCGGTGCCGACGAGCTGTGGCGGTCCGCCGATGTCGACCGGCTCCTGGAAGAAGTGCGACTCCAACTCCTCCAGTCCCACATCAAACACCCTGTTCTGCTTGTCGCCGCTCCCATACGATATCCACACACGAGGACCTTCCCCTTTGTCCCCTTTGTCCCCTTTGTCGCCTTTGTCGCCACGCCGCACACTGATCGACACGGGAAAGGCCTCCCATGCGCCCCACCCGCACTGAGATCGGTGGAGCGGCAGCTCCTGGCTGATGGCAAGGATGTCGAAAGGAGGCGTGGCGCGGAACTTGTATAAGAACGACTGATAGATGGTCTCCATGGCGCCGCCCTCCAGTGGGTTGGCCCCGCTCGTCAGCACGTGGAACACACTGAGGAAATAGGGGTCGTCGGCTGCGGATGGTGCGACAAAGGCCACCCCGGCACCGCCGTGGACCACGAAGGAGCTGACGTCCTGGTACTTTCTCGCGGCGTTGGCCCACTGGTGGAGAAAGGGATGGGACGAGTTGGCGAATGCGGTGGTGGTGCCTGTGTGTGGGTCGATCTGCAAGACGATGTGGGGCTCGATGCTGTAGACTGTCAGCAGCCGGGACGCCGACGCAGAGAGAGAGATGGGTGGGAGGCTGTGGGCCGGGAGGGGCGGAGGATATTCGAAGGGGCTCCAATTCTTCTCAACCTGCACACAATAGACAAGAAGGCAAGATATTCCCCCCTGTCCCCTGCCATTTTCTTTGCGGCTACCGGCGTGGCTTTGTCGTATTTGAGTGCCATCATGCTCTTGCTGTCCACCGCTATCCTTGCAGGCCACTGAGGCACAGCCGAGGCCTCCACCAAGAGCCTCACCAGGTACGGCTGCTGGCCATGCTCGCCACACGGCACATTGGGGGTGCGGTGGTGCTCGCGGCCGAAAAACAGCAGCCACAAATCCTTCCCCTCCTCTGTGTTATTCCTTGCTGTGAGGCGCTTGGAGAGCAGAATGAGGCGAGGGTCGTCAGGGCCTGTCATCGTGATCCGCTTGGTCTCGGCGCAGTCGTAGGGCAAATCAGGGCCCCAGAAATCGTCATCAGACAGCACCTGCAGACACAAACAAAAGGCAGGCAGGCACCATGTCAGTCGATCATGCACATCATTTCTTCTTCTCACCTGAAGGTCACCGATCTGTCGGAGGACTCATCGAGGAAGCCGACAACGACATGAGAGTCACACCAGACATTCCGGTTAAAAAGCTGCGACCGCAGCGCCACCACATACGCTGCCTTTTTGCCGTCCGACGCCGCTCCCGCCCCCCCTGCGGCACCCACAAGCGACTGCACGTCAGCCGCCGACAGGTCACTGAGGGAGACGAGAGCGGGGTTGAAGACGTCCCTGGTCGTGCCGGCAGACAGCACCTGAATCTCACGGTCCCTCCACCGCCCCCGGCCACCGCCGCCTCCCCATTGTCGGGCCAATCGGTCCTGCCGCAGCGACTCATCGAACTCTCTGGCCGCCTGCTGAGCCTCTGCAGCCTCTGCCTGGGCGAGTGTGGCCGCCTCACGGGTCGCCTTGTCAGCCGCCGCCACACGCTGCGGTGCCGACTTGGCTGCCGGCTGCAGCACAGAGCCCTCGATGGCCACCTCACGCTCGCCGAGAAGGCCGTGGAAGAGCTGCTCTGTCCTCGCCGCCTCCGCTTCGGCAATGTCCTGAGCCTTTTTGCTGTCGAATGAAGGGCCGGCTGGGAGGGCCTCGACGCTGGTCAGCAGGGTGAAGTTGGCGTGTGGATGCTGATGAGCGTGCACTGCTCGGACGGCCACAGAGCGCGCTGACGCGGCAGCATGGGCAGCATGGAGGATGAGTAAGGCGTAGAGGAGAAAGGGCGGCAGAGAGTTCTTGCACTGGAGGATGATGGCCATTCTGTCCTCAGCGCTCGTTCCTGCTCTCCCTGAGCCCTTGGCGTCGGACATTCTGTCGAGGGCTCCGCATCTTTAGATCAGAGGGGATGGCTCCAAGCGCCTCGCCACAGGTAAATCCGTAGCTAAGCTCGCAGGTGCAGGAAGGCAAGAAGCTTTCGCAAGGAAAAAAGCGAAAGGGACAGAAGGTGAGGTTATGTGGTCATCTCTTGGACGCCCTGATCTCCGTCGCGGCTCGTCAAGGGGCGAGAGGGTGCTGGTGCTCTTTGCTTCGCTGGGAGGCACCGCCAAAGCCGAAGCGAGGCAGCTGGTGTCCCAACTCCGCCTCTACCTCCTCAGCAGAGCGCATGTGGCCGTCAGCAGCATGAGCGACTACAACATCGATGACCTGACGAGCGAGAGGTGCGTCATAGTCGTGATCTCGACCTACACTGACGGTCTGCCTCCCCCTGCTGGGACTTCCTTCTTCGCTATGCTCGAGGACTGGAGGAATGACTTTCGGGTTGACAAGGCGGCACTTGCGCAGCTAAGGTGACGGCTGGAGGGAGGGAGGGGGGGAGGGGAGGAAGGGGTGCACGTGTGTGTGTGTGTGTGTGTATCTGTGTGTGGCTGTCTGCAGGTACGCCATCGTTGGTCTCGGCAGCCACGAGTACGGCGAGCAGTTCTGCCGGGCGGCGCACACACTCGACCGGCTGCTCCACTCGCTCTCCGCTCACCGCATCCTGCCCACCTGCACTCTCACCGACACGGCCGACATCCCCCCTCAGCTCACACCATGGCTGACACGGCTCTTCCCTCTCGTCCATGCAGCCATGACGGGCTCACCAGACCCACCAGAGATCCACGCTGCTGCTGCTGCTGCTGCTGAGGCTGACCATGAGAGCGATGTTGAGAGCGATGGGAGTGCGTCTGACGATGGGCAGGAGGGTGGCGGTGAGGCCGAGGCGGACGATGTGGAGGACATTGTGGGTGGGAAGCCCTCTGGTGAGGGCAGCAGTGCGAGAGAGACGGCGAGGGAGATGGTGACGTCACGGCAGAGGGCGGCGCTGACCAAAGAGGGCTATCGCATTGTCGGCAGCCACTCGGCCGTCAAGCTCTGCAGGTGGGCAGACAGAGGGGGGGAGGGAGAGGGAGAAAACCAAGGCAACGCACTCACTCGGTGTTGTGGGTGGTGTTGTGGCGCCGTGTGTGTGTGCAGGTGGACGAAGCATCAGCTGCGCGGTCGTGGGGGCTGCTACAAGCATTCTTTCTATGGGATCGAGAGCTATGCCTGCATGGAGGCCACGCCATCCCTGGCATGCGCCAACAAGTGCGTCTTCTGCTGGCGCCACCACAAGAACCCTGTAAGACTGCCGCCCCTCTCTCATTTAGACAGGGCAAGTGCCATTGCGCCATTGTGTGTGTGTGTGTGTGTGTGTTGGGTGTGTGTGTTCCACAGGTGGGCAAGGAGTGGCGCTGGGCGTTGGACCCTCCCGAGATGATAGTGCAGCAGACCATCGACAACCACAGACAGCTCGTCAAAACGCTCAAAGGCATGCCCGGAGTCATACCAGAACGGTAGGTGACCGACCCCACAGATACAGACAGCCAGACAGCATTGCAGACAGACAGACAGACAGACAGACCCGCCAAACGAGCGTCTGCCTCGTGTGTGGATGTGGCGACACACACAGGTTGGAGGCGGCAATGAAGATCCGGCACTGCGCGTTGAGTCTGGTTGGCGAGCCTATCATGTACCCACACATCAACGAGCTCATCGCCATGCTGCACGAAAGACACATTTCCACCTTCCTGGTACGCACACACCACGGCCCAACACCCCACAGCACAGCACAGCAGCCATCCTGTGGATGTATCCGCCCGCTAATGTGCGTGTGTGCAGGTGACCAACGCCCAGTTCCCTGAGGCCATCCGCAATCTGAAGCCCGTCACTCAGCTGTATGTGTCCGTCGATGCAGCCACGCCGGAAACACTCAAGGCCGTCGGTAAGATGAGACCATAACAAGACGAAGACGGAGAGAAGAGTGCATTTCCGTGTGCGTCAGATCGTCCTCTGTTCGGGGACTATTGGGACCGCTTCGTCGATTCCCTGACGGCGTTGCGTGAGCGGCGTCAGCGCACCGTCTACCGCCTCACACTCGTCAAACAACACAACATGCAGGTACACAGTGCACTGATCGATCCATCAGCACAAACACGTGTATCTCTTGGCATCCTGTGTGTGTGTGTGTGTGTGTGTCAGGATGCGTGTGAGTACGGCCGTTTGGTGTCGTTGGGTCGTCCCGACTTCATCGAGATCAAGTCGGTCACCTACTGCGGCACATCGACAGCGTCACATCTCACCATCAAACACGTCCCATACCACCAGGAGGTGACTTGAGGACCACCAACACACTCTACCGTGGTAGGAGTGCAGGCCCACAGCTGTCTTTGTGTGTGCCTGTGTGTGTGTAGGTGTTGAACTTTGCTGACGCCATCATATCGTCCTCGGCTGAGTTGGCCGATGAGTACGAGCTGGCCTGTGAGCACGAGCACTCCAACTGCGTCGTCATTGCGAAAAAAAGGTACGATAAAGCCGTGCGAAGGCACCATGTACACCCACACAGCCACAGACGCTCTGGTCTTGCTTCTGTGGCGTATGCAGCTTCAAGATCGACGGCGTGTGGCACACGTGGATCGATTACGATAGATTCCACCAGCTGGTAAGACCTCAGCCAGGGACACACCGACGCTCAAGAGAATCAGTGATTGGTGGCTCCATCCATCCATCCGTCAATCTATGTATCAGGCCACGAGTGGCGAGCTGTTCGGTGCTCTCGACTACTGCGCTCCCACTCCACAATGGGCCGTGCGGGGCGCGCAAGAGAAGGGGTTTGACCCCATCGAGACAAGGTGGGCAGACGGATGTGTGGGCGGATGGAGGGATCGATCGGTGGGTGAAGGTGTCTGTGATGGGGGGTGCTGTGTGTTGGTTGGTGTGTGGGCGTCAGGCACTATCCCAAGGGCAAGGCAAGGAGGCTGAGGCAGACGCAGGACAGCCAGTGAAGGGGCAAGCGGGGTGCCAGCAGCAGTTGGTTCACTAGCGCCTTGGCCAGCTCTATGTCGGTGTGCCGTCTGTCGTTCGGCAGACCCAACGGTGGGGGCGGAGGTGGGGATGTGGGATGATGTGTGTGGCTCTGGATGCTCGTGTCGTGTGTCTGCGTGGGTGCGTACCGTGCCTTCATGTGCGACCGATGACTGCTGTGTTGGATGGCTTCGCTCAACTTGTGTGCAGTGTGAGGCCCAGTAACAGATTGAGGTTGCACAGAGTGTATGCGAAAGATCCGTAACGCCCCGTCGGTCCAGGAACACAGTATCGATCCACAGCAGCAAGAATGTGACAGCACGTCTAAAACCAGCTGAAGGGCATGGAACTACACACTGTTGGACTACAAAAAAAACTCAACCGAACACACCTAACCTACGTCCATACCGTACGCTGCATCTCATGGCATAAAAGGACGATTGACTGGGACACGAAGAAAATACCTCCATATGTAAAGAGTGCGCCATCACACCACTGATGGCTTTCGCTGACATCACACATGAGCAAGATGACACATTCTACAGAGATCTGTCTCTCAGTCCCCCCTTGCCCTTGTTTTCTCACCTCATTGATCATTTTTCGACATTTCGTCTCTGTGCCGCATATACATGCTCCATGCGAACGACCCGACTCGATAAAGAATCGTTATAGAAGTAAAGAAGACAGACACAATGACCAGTGCCAAATTGATACCCTCCGTCGCCCACACAATCGTCAGCACCAAGATGGGCACTTCCAGCAGGGCGAAGGCTACGATGCAGAGGTGTTGCCATAGCGATGGAGTGCCGCGGATGACATAGTGAATAAAGACCGACACGACGTCACCCAACGATAGCCCAAGGATGACAAAGCCGACAGCTCGGATGCGCTGAGCTTCTCCTTCTAAGCCTTGCGCGTCTCTTTCGTGACTGTCCTCCGTCGACCAGGTGATGAATTCCACTCCCACCGCCGCGTCAGTCATAAAGTCGGTGGCCATCGCGACAACGGCCAGCATTTTGTACAAGCGAATGAACGTAAGATAATCCATCCACTTGAGCCACCGATTGACCACCGATCGGTACAGAAAGGGCTCTGTTTGCCGCGCCTTGGCTATCCGCTCGGCCGTCGCCGACGGTTTCCACCTTGCCCGACGGCCGCAGCATGAGATTCGGTCGTAGTCGACGTCCAGTTTCCTTCCACCCGTCGGTGTGGCCGATGCACGGACGACTCGAGGCTCCGAGACGACGATGAACAGGGTGAACTGCAGAAGCACCGCACCGGCCACCCACGTCATTGTGCCAACGCGCCAGCCGAGGCTGTCGGGAGCGGAAGTAACTACGAAGTCGAGAGTGTCGAGCTTGAAAAGACCCACCACGCTTAACAACATGATCCAGGATAGGAAAATGGTGAGAAAGATCGATAAGTATATGACGCATCGAGTGAGGCACCAAAAAGGCGATGCGCAGAGACTTCCCAATCCAACGAGGGCCATCGCAGACGACGGTGCTGCAATTGGAATCACAAGCACCGCGAATGAGTATTCGTCCCCGAGGGAACTGGCAAGGATAAGGTGGATGAGGCCCCCCGACCAGTAAACTGCATAGATCAGGACGAGGCCGATGACGACAAGGAAATGCCTCCGGGGATAGTCCGTCAGCGGAAAGGTCATACAGCCAATCTCCAGCTCCAGAAAGCCCCACAGATCACCCTGCAGCAGAGCACCTCCCGCGTCAACTGAAACTCGGCCGTCCACTGCAGGGGTGGAGACCGGTGTCGAGGCGGTGGTGGGAATATCTGAGAGCCGAGCGCCGCTTTCCCCATCTCCTTCAGCCTCCGATGGATGCTTCGATGACTCCGCTGACCTTCTCGTTGGAACGCCTATTTTAGAAGCTGATTGTCTGAGGACGTCTGGGGGATCAGTCGGGGCAGGAGGAGCGACACGGACGCATGTTGGGTTCATGCCTTCAGCCTCAGCCGTTGCTTCCAGCCTCATTCCTCTCTCTTGAGGCTCGACTCCGTCTTCTTATTCGCACCTCAGCCAGATCTCTTCACAACCTGATACCACTGCTCCATTCTCGTCGTCTTTTAAGCTCGCATACGAGGCGATCGGAGAAGCCGCCGCCAGGAAGCCGGGAAGGGCGGGAGGGTGGTGTGTGCAAATGGACGCCCTATTCATACTCAACGACGCTGGGTGAGTGAGTGACAAGATACGCAACGGCCGTGACAAGATAGACAAGAGAGATCTCATTCATGGCACACACACACGCCATCTGCTTTGTTGTATCTGTGCAGGAGTCTCATCGTCGAGAAGCACTTCCAAGGCCGCATCGGCCGCTCCGTCTGTGATCCTTTCCTGGATCTGTTGCAGACCCATGCCGAGAGGGGATCGTCGAGAAGCACTTCCAAGGCCGCATCGGCCGCTCCGTCTGTGATCCTTTCCTGGATCTGTTGCAGACCCATGCCGAGAGGGGCTGGCCTGACAGACAGACAGACAGACAGACAGGCAGACGGAAATCGCTGGCAGGTTGGCAGAGATAGGCGTGTGTGTGTGTGCAGGTATGTCCCTTCACTGTGGAGCATCCCCAAGCTGAGTTCCGACCAGCAGCCGCCGTCCCACTATGCTGAGGGAAGGGTAAACCGGCACACACATCCACCCGCCGATGAATGAATGCATGGCATGTCTGTCCATCCATCCATCCATCCATCAGCTGACCTATGACGGCGCTAAGGAGGGCAGCTTACTACGGCAGCGTCGCGCCCCAGGAGCTCAAGTAGGTTACCATCCACCCATCTGTGTGTTGATCAATAAATTTATCCTCAATGTGTTTGTGTCATTAATGTGTGTGCGTGTGTGCGACTGATGTGTCGTTTTCGGTCAAGGGCTGGGCCATATCTTGCATCAAGGTCAGCCACCCGAGCCACACACACAGGGCGTCATCCATGTGTGTGTGCTGTGGTTCGTGTGTGCAGTTGGACACTTTGGAGCTGTCATCCATCGGTGAGCTACCAGCCCTACAAGGGCTGCCGATATACAGCACACGGGCCGGCCACATCGCGTATCGACTGTGACTATTGATCAGCCAAGGCAGAAAGGACGGACGGACCCTCCCCGATTATTTTTGTGTAAGAACTGCTGCCGGATCGATGCGTCAGACGCCGTGTATGTGTGTGTGTGGCGTGTGTAATGTGATGATTGATGACCTTACTTATGGGCATGGCCATCGATTGCCATAACGAAAAAGTCCTCTCGAGAGAGAGAGAGATCGAGATCGAGTCTGAGTCTGGTTGTTCACTCACTCGTCCGACGATCGTTGTCACTCTGCCTCATTCTGACTCTGTGTGTGTTCTGTTTTGTTCTGTTCTGAGCTGCCGTCCGTTGTGCTCTTTTCTTCTTTCTTCCTTCCTTGCGGCCGACGGACGGATGTGCGCACAGGAGAGAGCAACTCTGACTAGCGGCAGACAGACAGGCAGCCAGGCAAGCAGCCAGGCAGGCAGGCAGACAGACAGGCCGGTGGACAGCCAGACGATGAACCAAAAAACACACAGGCCCTGGAGAACAGCAGATAACATCCATACTCACGCACGTTCAAGAAGGTACCTGTCGAATCCATCCATCCATCCATCCACACAGGTGAAGTGAGAGGCCCTCAGCACGCAACCGATGGCTTGCCTCAAAGGCTCTCACTCCCTCACCCACTCAAAAACTGCCGACTGACTGACTGACTGATTCGTTGGCTGAACCGTTGATGGGTCGGGCAAAAGTGCTGCACTGTACTGACTGCTTCTGTACCGTACTCCCTATCGCTATGGTAGCTATAGCGCCTTTACACACCAACTGACAATGCCATCACCACACTCTCCCACCGCCCAGCAAAGCACAGCATGGCACGCCAGCCAACCACACACATTCAGCCATCACATCGATCAGTATCAATCACACAGGACCATACAGGCAGGCAGGCAGCCAGACAGAAAAAGATTCGTTCGTGCCGGCCACTCTTGATTGACTCACTTGTGGCCCGATCCCAACAGACACATCCCCAGCCCCCCCTCCGACTGGCTGGGGCCGCGCTTCACCCCACAGATTCCACTTGATAAGGCACTTGATAAGGAAATCGAACCTGGCGGCCGGTGGTGGTGGTGGTGGTGCTCGTCGCCGAAGCGGCAGCAGGGGCAGGTCCCTCTTGGGCCCGGGCGGCGGCAGCAGCAGCAGGAGCAGTGGCGGTCGACGAGCGCCCTTGGTGGCGGTGGTGGAAGTGGTGGCTGTTGTGGTGGTGGTGGGTTTGTTGGTGATGTCCGTCCAGATCGACTTGGGCAGTGTCGGGGTTGCCGTGACGGCCGGTGTCTTCACGATGGCCGCGATGCACTTCGTCAACTCACCACTCAGCTTCTTCAGATCTGAAGGAAAAAAGGAGAAGGGGCAAGCGAGAAGACAAGTGATGTGATCAGATTGTCTTTGTGCCGTTTCTCCTGCGTGTCACTCACTGTCGATGTCGGCCTTCTTGACGTATTGCTTCTCATCGTCTCCCTTGATCATCTCCTATGTGGCTTCCTTGACGGTGGGCCCAGTCTTGACGGCCTCCGTCTGCGTGTCCTTGGACTCGCCGACCGGCTTCTCCTCCTTCTCTTGCTTGACGTCGTCGGCAACACTGCCCGCTGCAGCCGCCGTTGCCGCCGCACCGCTGGGGCTCTTGTCGAGGCTGGGCTCGACAGGGCGCATCACGAGCGTCGTCTTATTGGAGCGGGGCGAGGTCAAACCCGAAGCCAAGGAGTTGTTGTACCTATCCATCCATCCATCCATCACAGAAAGAGACCCACATGCAGATCCAAGGAGTGTGTGTGAGTGACGGCAGTGGGGAGGGGGAGGGAGAGGTTCTGCCTTACGTGTCAGTGCTGCGGTCATAGCCGCGAGGGTTCATCATCTCCATGAGTCCCTGTTGATAGTCCACTTCGCGGATGAGGGCCTCGTTCATCGCCTTTTCCGTCCCAAACGCGAACACGAGCTTGGGCAGATCTGGCGAGACCAAGAGAAATAAGTGTGACACTCACTGGCCCTCCTTGCCTCTCTGGCGAAACTGTGATTCAGAAGCAGCCTACTTGGCTCGCTGGTGAAGGCCAGGCAGAACGATTGACCTGTTTAGTGAGGGGGAGGGCGGGGGAGGGAGAGACAAATGAAGCAGTGCTTGTGTTGTGTGTGTTTGTGTGGGAGGGGAGGGGGTCAGACTCTGCCAGTGCTCAGTCTATCTATCCCCTCCCTCCCACCTTTGAATGAGTGGAGAACCTCGACTTTGGAGTTGTACGAGCGCTGCTTCATGGCATGGGGGGGCCCCTGGGCCATTGCCGTCTGAATATCTGGGTACGTGACCCATCCCCCATGGAAAAGCTGGACGCACTTGCTCGACCATCTTCCCCCACGAAAGTCCCTGAACACCCATCCCCCACACACAGAAAAGGCTCACACATGCGGGGGGGTGGCTGTCCGTTCAGGCCCTCTCGTGTGTTACCGTCGTACGAGGTGTCGTAGACCAGCACGTTTCTTTGGCGGAACGCCTGGCTGTGGAATCCCATTGGTCAGGTGTTGTGGTTGTCCAGGTGGGGCTTGACACAGAACGATCGCAGGAACCTTGGTTGCTTGTTGCTTACGAGTGAAAGATCTTGCTTGGGTGGGAGGCACTCAGTTTTACGGATTCCCTACTCACTCAGAGCAGCACGCATGACGAGCCTCAGCGCCTGGCTGTTCTCTGTCTCACCTCTCCCGGACCCGTCTGCCTCGGCATTCATGGCTCGACATACCCCGGACATAAACAAAACAAAACAGGTCAATCACTCATCACTATCCATCCATCCATCCATCTATCCATCCATCCACACACACACATATATGCTGACACACATCGCTCATGCACGGGGTGCAAAAAGGGAGCGAGGGAGGGAGGCATTCATTCACTCATTGTCAGATACATCACGTCATGCATCACGTCGCACAAGGCACACATACAGGTCAGTGTGTGTACAAAGACACACACCTGACCGACCTGTGTGTGCTACGATAGCTGCGATGTCTGTCCTCCCTCGTCCAGTCCATCCATCCAGTGCAGGCAGGCAGGCAGTGCGTGGTCAAAACGAGCAGACAGGCACATGAGTGCACCATGGCCATCCACGCACGTACACGTATACTTACATAAACCGCACACACACACGGCATGAGCAATAGATAGGCAAATAGGCAACAAACACACAGACAGCTGTAGACATGCTCTCACAGGCAGGCAGGCAGGCAGGCAGGCAATGCAGCACTCAACACACGAGTCAGTCAGTCGTTCGCTCGCAGCCGGCGCGACTCAACGAGCGCACAGAGATATGTCCATCCATATGTTCATCTACTGCCGCCTCTGCTGCACGATGCCGTCGAAGATGCCTTTGTCGATCTTGTAGTGCATGGCCATATTTGTGTCGACCACCTCGGTCAGAGCTATGTCGCCCGCCACCGTCAGAGCAGCCAGGGCCTCCTTCTCACTCAGGTTGTACTTGTCCTGACACACACAGGCAGACAGACAGACGCACAGAGAGAGCCCTGTGTCACTGTCTCTCCTCCTTTGTTTCCCCCTCCGTCCCTCACCATGACGAAGTTGCGTGCGTTGATGTAGGTGTTCCTGACTGCGCCATATCTGCCCTCCGGCCCACTGCCGTCCTCCAGCCCGCCGTCGGGCTCGTCAGGCTTGTACCCAGTCACGGCAGCCAGCGCAGCAAAAGGGTCGGCCCCCTCGCCGTTGGCAGCAAAGTGCTCTGATGAGCCAACCGACCGATTAGACTAACACACTTTAGGGGACATTTGTGCGTGCCTCTGCCTGTTTGATTACCGACCGAGGTAGTTTTCCACAGAGAGGCCCAGGGAAATCCAGTGTGTGTCGGTCTCGCCGAGTGGGGCATCGAGGGACTCCATAGCCTTGTCATACTCAGGGGTGCCTGCAGAGAGGGCAGCACACGCAGCTGTTTAGTGTCCTCTCTCTCTAATAGACTTTCCCTCTCTCTCTTCGATTACATACATGACGTACGTACCTTGTTTGATGACGGTGAAGATGGCGGTGCCGTCAAGGGACACCTCCAGGCCAGTACCGTCCAACTCAGACGCACCCTGATGCATCCATCCCGACACACACATACAGACATGGCCGAGAGATCTCTCACCCCTGCCTCCCTCCCTCCCTCCCTGGTTGCCTCACTCATTCACTCACCGACCCACCTGCACAGCGTGGCCATCCCCAGCCGAGAAGAGGCCCCCCGGCACCTCTGCCTTCAGGTAGACGGTGGTGTTGACGGTCCACAGCCTCTCGTCCATGTTGCCCCCGACACGGCCGATGGGCGCGATGCTGTTGATCTTGTCGTCGCCTTCGGGGTAGGTCTCGGGGGCCAGGCCGAAGCAACCGAAGTGCGGCAGGAGGGGAATGCGCACCTGAGGACGCAACACAGACAGACAGACACCCCGGGTCGCGTGTTCATGTGTGGGTGCAGTGATTGGTGTGCACTCACTTTGACGGAGGGAGGGAGGTACTCCAGCTCTTTCGAGGACCAGCCCCTGCACACACATCGGCATTTCACACACACAGACACGCACATAAACAGAGAAGTTTCCCTCCTCGTGTGTATGCTTCGCCTTTGCTGACCACGACTGGACGTCTCCGCTGCTGTTGGGGTAGTTGTGTGGAGTGCACCACCACTCGAAATCATACAAAGTCTGGTTGGTGGGCGACGTGACCACCTCGTACTGATAAAAGTGCTCGGGCTCGGCGTAGTAGCCGCCGCTCTCGTCTCGCTTCATCTCCCTGACACACACGTGGCCCGATCGTCGCACAAAGTGTTTGTGCATAGGCGCAGTGCTGACCAGAGACTGCCCCAAGAGTCGGACCTCAGCTCGGCTGTTGGCGGCCAGACCAGGGTGCGGCCGTCACGCGTGGGGATGCGGAACTGGTAGCCGATGAACACCCCGTCGGAGAGTCCGAACATCCTGCCCGCAGGGTTCACGCGCGGCCTCATGTCGAGATACTCAACCTACACACACAACACACACACACGCACACACACACGCACGCACACACATTGGTGTGCAGTGTAGCGGTCTGTCTGTTTGTCAATCTGTCATGATTCGCTCTCACCTTGACGATGTCCCCAGGCGCCACGTCGCAGATGTAAATGGGCCCAGTGAGGACGTGCCCAAGGTGTTCCGGGAACATGCGGCCGTCCTTCTGCAGGGGCGGGGTGCCATCACCGTCACGCTTGAAGATGGCCTCCATCGGCGGGTCGCCCTTAGAGATCTGCACGCACAGAAATCCGCTTGATCACAGCCAGCCACTAGCGCGTGGGTGTGTGTGCGTATGCTCACGTGGTCCCAATCGCTGCAGCCGAGGGGGGTCGCCGTCTCGAAGCGCACCATGTCCCCACTGTGCACATACAGACGGGGCTTGATGTTCTTGCTCCAGAACCCGAAGGCACCCACACTGTCGAATGTGAGAGGCAGCTCCTTGTAGCCGCGCGGCACCGCACAGCCCTCCTCGGCTGTATCGGCGTCAACAGGGCCAACCACCACTGGCTCAAGGCCGGCTGATGGGAAGGAAAACACACAGACAGAAGATTGTTCTCACGACGGATGTGTCGGGGTGTGTGTGTGTGGGTGGGTGGGTCGGTGGGTGGTGGCTCACTCACCGCCGGGCTCCTGCTCGGGGATTGTGAAGCCCTTGAAGCCCTCATACGGCGGGAAGATGCTCTTGGGGACCAGTGCGTGGCCGCCCCAGTTGCCGTCGACCACTTGGGTGACGCCGAAGTTCACACCGAGCGAGATGATGTCGGGCGCCTCGTGCTCGGCGACACCGTACCGGTCCATCAGAAAATTACGGACCGTGAGCAGGGTGTTGGCCATGACGTCGTCAAAGTTGGACACTCTGCACACGACACAGAGAAAGGGACAGAGACGGGGCGGGAGGAGGGGTCACCAGAGACACACATATATATCTACACACACGTGCCCCTGCTTACTGGAAGACGTCAGTGTTGGGGTCTTCCAGTTCGGTAAGGAAGTTCCTGCGCGTGAATGAGTGGATGATGTACTCGTCGGCTGTCTCCCCGATCGGCTGCTCCATGTTGACCAGCCACAAGGGCAGCTCATCTACACACACATACACATACACATGCACATATACACATACACACGGTCCACCGCGACCACCGACCGAATGGCGTCAAAAGTATCGACCCTCACTTTGCTTGAGCAGCGTGATCTTGAGCTTTGCCGTCATGCTCGTCTCGACCCCGGTCCCGTCAAGCTCAGAATCGCCCTGGCAGACACCATACCAAGCCACCCACACAAGTGCATGCGGCTCTCATTCTCTCTGGCACATGTGGTTGATGAGAGTACCTGTGCCGCGTGTGCATCCCCGAGCGAGAGCAGGGCGCCAGGCACCTCCACTCGATAGTACATGGTGGTGCCGGGACCGATGCGTTTGTCATCGAGATTCCCCCCCGAGGCCATCGGCGGCACTGAGTTGACCTTACCCTCATAGTCAGGCGCCAGGCCCATGTTGCCTGTGCGCAGACAGACAGACAGACAGACAGGCAGCCATGTGTTGGTGTTGGTGGGGCGTCTTGGGTGGCTGGGCAACCTACCGATGTGCGGATTGAGTTTGATCCTGAATGGGGGTGCGTCCTTGGTGTAGTTGATCGGGGCCACCGTGTCAAAACCCATCTCTTGCGGCTGACGCACACACACACACACACACGGACATCAGTCCATCCATCCATGAAAGTACGTCCGTGCAGTGCATGCGCACCACGGCAGAGAAGCCCTCATATGTGTGAGCGACGCAGCTGCCCGGCTTGACTCGGAAGGTGGAGACCCGCCCTGTCGGGTCAATGATTGATGGGTAGTCGAACATGTAGTCCAGCTCCCCGAACCAAGTGCCGTTCTCCTCGCTCAGCCTCCTGCACACAAACACATAAGATACATACACGAGACTCTCACACGTGTGCGGTGGGTGGGTGAAAGGGTGGGTGGATGGGTGTACCAAATGGCGATGAACTCTTCATCAGGCTCGTCTTCGTGCCCTGTCCTCTCGCCGGCCTTCCAGACTTCTCCTTCACGATTCAACACACGGTACTGGTAGCCCCAAAATCTGAATAATGTGAGCGGCAAGCAATCTCCCTGAGCTTGTCCAGTTTGCCGTAGTCTTTCACTCATGGTAGTGAGTGATTCGTACCCGCCCATGTTGCTGCCATAAGATGTGCCGTTGGGGCCTGGCCTTGGCTGCAGATCCATGATCTCCACCTGCACACAACATGTTACCAACAGCCACGTCAGCACGTTTGTCGATATGACGGCGACTGAGTTGCGGTACCTGCAGGACATCGCCTGGCTCTGCGCCGCAGACGGCAATGGGCCCGGTGAGGATGTGCGTGGCGAACCGGTCGGCAAAGGGAATGCCGGTCTCCCAGTCATAGATAGATCGTAGACCCTCGTCATCGCCTGCATGCACACCCACATGAGCGCCAGATCTCGCTGCCGTGTCCCACGGGAAGAGTGCTGTACGTACCGATCATTTTGTCCCAGTCATCACACGCCTGGTGTGTGGCCATCTCTATCGTCACCTCATCCCCACTCTTGACGTACCTGACGCACAGACACACACACACGAGATCAACACATGCCGTGCTTTTTCGCTTTCTTGACGCACAATTTGGGCTCGAGGGTGTTGTCGAAGAAGCCCCAATGCACGTTGGTCTTGTTGAGGGTCAGCTCCTTGCTGCCTGACTCGAGCAACTCGCACACATCACTGACCTGTGCACGGACTGCCGTGACGGCCAGTAGGAGGGCAGCGGCCAGCAGCTGACAACCTCCTGTCATAGATCTGGAGGGAAGCATTGGTGGGGAGAGGGGGAGATCGGTGTGGATCTGCAAGTTTAGAATGGCAAATGCCGATGGGCCTCAATCCCCTCTGCAGATCTGCACTAACCAAATGGGAGCCGAGGTTGAGCTGCGATAGGCCCTGAGTGCATGCATCGATTGAATGCTTAAATCTGTCTACTACTCAGATGGTCTTCATCCCTCACTCGTCAACAACTTGAACATGCAAGCATCAGAGAACGAAATGCGATGCCAACCAACCCAAAGACACATAGGGACTGCTATACATACAAGTGACCTGTCGACCGGCCCTGTCGAGGGCCACAGGATGCTGTAAACATATGTATGTATGTAACGCTGTATACGTACAGACCCCTGCCTCACATGCATGCACTGCCACTGCCACTCACTCAGACAAGCCGCTGAATTACCTCTCCCTCCCTCCCGACCCCACTCCACCGGCTTTGCTTGTCTGACTGCTTGTCTGACCCTCGTCTCTCATGCTGACCCTGAGACCTGCTCCCACGTCTGGCCACTGCATCCATGTGAGCAAAAGGGGAAATAAGCACCATACACGAGCCACCCCCGTGGTCACGTCTGTCTGGGTGGACGTACCTTGGTTTCTCATATATGAATGACAGGCCGTGGATCCGCATCAGATCATACGCCCTGATTGACCAAGATGCCATGATACAGTACAGCAAGCCAGCCACAGACACACATATATATGGGTGGAATGGGCCCGATTCTCCCACCTGGTGATCGGAATGGCATGGCCTATGTGTGAAGGGTTGCCGGGCACGGCATACACGAGAGCCGACAGGGCCACCAACTCCCAGTGGCCTCGGGTAGACGACCAACGAAACACTCCGCCACCACTGAGACGCACCACCCACACCGATATGCAGACAGACAGCTATGGGGGCAGCCTCTCTGCCCGCCCACCTCACTCACCTGTTTCCCCGTGTTGTCATGGCGGAGTACGTCCACCAGTCGTAGTTGTACTCATCCGTCCAGTACCGTGACATGTATCCCTCTGTCAATATCGGCCCCACACCGCCGGGGAAGCCGACCGCCTGCACCTGGTCCAACGGCTGAGTGAGTCAGTGAGTGACACAGGGGCAAAAGGACAAAAAGCATCAACAACAGACGGGTGGATGGATGGGTCGGTGCTTACTGCTGGCTTGTCGGGTGCGTCTTTGGGCAGCAGATAGGCCGCTATGTACTGGTGGTCCGTGTCACGCAGCCGCAACAAGGCTAGGTCCCTTCAGGCACACACACGCACACACACCGGCAGGGATGTAAAGCGCCACATACAGGGGTGCACCCCTGTCTGCGTTTCCATGCTCACTCATCACCTCGAGTACTGTTTCTTTTCCGATCCGGGCCAGTATGCGACGATGTCGGCGGTGATGGTCATCTTGCCGATGATCTTGTAGGTCGACAGGTGCTGCGGGATGATGACCTCCACTGACACCTTCTTCTCAACCTTCCTGTCGGCTGAAAACACACAGAGGTATCTACAGCCCGCCGCCTGTCTGCCTGTCTGTCAGTAAGTGCAGTGCAGCGACCCACCTCTCTTGATCGGGTCCCACTCATGCTCGTAGTGGATGCAGTCCTGACAAACCGAACAAGAACATTCTTTCCGCCGCTTCGTGCCACATTCCATTCCATGCCTCTCCCTGCCCACCCACCCACCTACCTTGATAACATGATGGTTCGTGAGTATGTAGGTGGCATATCTGGCCTCCTCATCCCCGTGTGCAGCCTCGGCGTCACCACCACCACCACCACCAGAACCCTTGCCCTTCTTGCCCGTCGCCGCCGGCTTGGGCGCCTCCCCCGAGTACACGATCACCCCAGACCCCTGCACATACGGACGGCTGGACGGCGCGTGGATCATCACCGTCGGCAGGTACAGCTCCGAGTAGCTCTGGATGGCCCCGCCGGTGATCACAGATGGCTCAGACGGGGGAGGGGGAGGCACCGCCACATCATCGGCAGGAGGGGCGGCTGGCGCCTCGTCTGCTGATCGAAGCTTGTCGGTCTCCAGCTCAGAGAGAGTTGTGTCCTTGTCCCCCTCTGCTGGCTTGGTCGGTGGTGCAGCGTCTGCGGGCGGGGGAGCCTTATCGGCTTGGTGGGGAGGCGCCGCCTTCTCGGGCGGCGTGGCCGTCTCGTCGTTGGCTGTGAGGGCATCGGCATCCTCATCGTCACCGACCTCTGACGCATCTGAGTCATCGTGAGTGTCCTCGCCCTGATCAGCCTCAGCATCTTCACTCCTCCACGCGTCACCGTCTTCACTTGAAGGTGATGCTGCAACCACAAACACACAAGCAGACAGAGAGATGCAAACACAGGCGCAAACTACAAACGACCTGAGATGCCTTCTCTGCGTCTGCGTGCGGATCTGCGGACCTTCTTCGCTTGCAGCTGTCGTCATGAAGATGGGCAAAGCGCCCATGACGCCGCAGCGCATCCACCTGGCAGTGCGCTTCTCGAACGCCCGCCTCTCCTGCCGTGGCCACCTGGCAGTGCGCTTCGAGTGTGAAGATGACGCCCTCCACACGTAGCAGCGGCATTCTCTTACTGATGCTCCCATCCCATGACGAGTGCGCGCGACAGACCAAGAGCGGAACATCGATGATTTGCAAACAGCACGCAGATCTGCTCCGAATTAGTGCACAATAGTAGCACGGCCCGAGGTGACATAAGCGGTCCGATGGCAGACACGAGTCTCGTTAAACACAATAACCAGCCAACCAACCAACCGATGGGGTGTCACCGTGGGAAGGGTGTGCTTTCTTTCGGCTGCGACTAAGGATTCCGACGGAAGGGGTGCTTCAACTGCATGCAGTGCATGATACAGTGTCTATATGGCAATTTCCGATGCGGAGACGCGCGTTCGTTCGCCTCGTATGATCCGATCCTCACGCACACAAATATAGACAAACAGTACACTGCTGTGTTTCTATATACAGTACGAGAGAATGCACACATAAGGTGTCAGATCTCCGGTGTCGAGAGAGACGACGCAAGCAATTGACAGAAAGAAGACATATGCGACAAAGTGGGGGATAGACAGGGTGGCGACAAAGGGTGGCAATCTAACCACCTATGTGACTCCACAAACCTACGAACATGTCAAGTCTCCGATAGATACGAGACTGCGACAAATGGGCTAAACAGACAAGCGGCCATATGATGCATGGATGTGTCTATTCATCTATCTTTCCATCCATAAAGCCAGCCAAACCACCACCCAGTCAGTCCATCAGGGTGTGCGCATGAATGAATGACATATGCCGCGGAGGCGAAGGAAAAATTTTTCCGTGCATTACATCGCACCACACAGGGAGGCATGCATGAGCGGGAACGTGCAGCGCCTCCATCCATGTAGGCAACATCAGATTAGAGCACAGGTGCGCCGACCATCGTTCGCCAATCTCAACAAAGCAGTAACCACCAAAATTGACAGCCAGCCAGACATAAGGAGGTGTCTCTCTGGCAGACAGAGAGCCCCCCGCTGACCCAAGTATGTACGTGCGATGACAATCGTCCGTTCCCCTTTCGCTCCTCAGACAGACATACACGTGTGTGCTGCAAGTAGGCAACCAGTCAGCCAGTCAGTCAGTCAGCCCGTCAGCCGCAGCACACACAGGACAGCACAGCACAGCAGCCAGCCTCACACAAGGGGTCTCCTCTCTCGCTGACAGAGAGGGCAAGTACAGATGTCAACGCATGTGGGGTCAGTATATATGCGAGACAAAAGCAGGCAAGCAAAAAGTTGGCCTCTGTCTGGACATCTGTACATCGCCCCTCTCACATGCACATTGGCTGCCCGTCTCCCCGCCCGCCCGCCCATATTCACGACGACTGCTCTGCGATAATTTCTCTGGCCTGGTTCGAATTTCTGCCGGTCATCTTGGCAGCAGTGTTGGATCGGCATCGGCCACGGGGCGCAGAGTTGTGTACTGCCCGCAGCCACCAGTAGCCGTTGCGGAACTCGGTCATGCCGGCGCCGCTTGCTCCGCCATTCGTGTCAAATTTGTGATTCACCTTCTGCCTGCACCGGAAGTTGAAGTCATCTGTTGGTTCGAGCACACAGTCAATTGAGAAAGGCACGCATTCATGAGCATGTGTGTGCCTGCCTGCCTGCCTGCCCACCTCGCTTCTCGAAGAAGACCCGTCGGCGGTCTGAGCGGTCGTCGAACCCCGGGTAGGAGAGCATCCATACGGTGATCTTGGGCGTGAAGAGCCGCCGCTTGCAGGCGCTTCCGATCGGCACATAGCCAGTCTGTGCTCCGATGGGGACAGCAAACAACATGACACCCCAATCGTACTCGCGGGGTCTGTTGCGCCTGCTCAGCCATTCGCCGGGCACCGTAATGCGGCGGACAGAAACGCAGCCGAAAGGACGCTCGGAGCCGCTCTGGCCGGGGCAGAACCTCGCTCTCTTCATCAGTCAGCAGATACGCGAGAGAGACGTACCCGTGCGTACATACCGGGCAAGTAAAGACCAGACAAACAGCGCTCCTTTCATCGATGGTCGGTGGCCCGCCTTCTCTGTCTTACTGACTGACTGACTGACTGAATCACTTACAAAGTTTTCTACGAAGACGTTGCCGCCTCCCGGCTTGCGGTTGGTGAAGCAGTGGGCGGCGGTCATGCCTGTAATGGGGCTGCCCGCAACTATTCCGCTGCAGCGGAAATCACCGTCCGACGTAGAAATGGACAGAAAACCGGAAGTACGCCATGGATAGTCCGTCTGCTTGGATCCGATGGTGCGGCTTTCGCCGCCCACCACACACTTCTCCTCTGGAGCGTCGGTGGTCATGTTGATGGCACCGCGAGAGAAGTCACTGTCGCGGGCGGGCCTGGGCCTCATTGTCCAGTCGGTCGGGAGCGACGCATTGCCCTCACGGATGTCTGGGAAGCAAGGCAGGCAGAGAGTGAACAGAGGAAGTGCCTCAAGCAATCAAGGAAGGTATATATGGATGCGGCCTGCCTGCCTGCTGACCCACCTTGGTCTTCATCATGCATTCCCTTGTCCATGAGCCTCTGGCGCACCTCCTCGTCGGTGCTGGCCAGCAGACGAGCGTAGGTGTCACCCCCCGGCACAATCATCACGTCCCGATACTTGCGAGGCTGCGACTCCTCATCCTTCTCCTCGTTCTTCTCGTCATCCTCGTCAGCCAGGTCTTGCGGCACCGTCCCCCCGGTGATGCGCCCGACGAACACGTAGCCGTCAGAGCGGAAGCGATGGACGACCGCCGGCGTCAGCTGCCGATCTTTGGCCTTGGACCTGCGGATGTCAGCGAGGCTGACGAAGGTGAAGTCCTCCGACAGCTTGAAGGCCCCATTGTCGATGTCCTCACAGCTGCCGCGGTGGCGGATGTGCTGCTGCTGGCACAGCGCGAGGCAGGGGGAGGCGAAGGTGATGCCATCGATGACGGCATCCGTGTGGCTCGTCGCGCACACGGGCGACTCGGATGCGACGAACCACTTGGGTGATCTCTCGGCGGCGGAGATGTCGTGAAGGTGACGGCTGGTGAAGGTCGAGCAGTCGCACAAGGTCGACACGTCAGGCTGCTTCGACTCGCTGGGCGGCGGCTGGCCTTTACCAGTGCCAGTGGCGGCGGCGGAAGTGGCGGCCGAGGCCTCGGGCAGCAAGGCTGGCACAACGCACATGACATCCAGCCAGGCAGGCAGCAAGCATGGGTACATATGTGGGTGTGCAGCGCCTAGCTGTGGCGTGTTGTTGTGTCTGTGTGTCCACCTGAGGCGGCGAGGAGCACCAACGCGAAACAAGACGACAATCTTCCCATCACGACGGCAGCGAAGGGAACGGAGGGAAGAGGACGAAGCGAGGAGGCGCCACTTGGCTCCGCTGGTCTCCAACGGTGAGAGGGGGTTGCAACCGCTTTGAGCCTCACAACCGCAAAGCCGTAAGAACCGACACGCAGCGCATCCACCTGGCAGTGTGCTTCTCGAACGCGTTGCGACAGCCAACACAGCCAGCGGTAAGGGCGCCGGCAACTCCGAGCGAATCTCCCGATGGAAGCCAGACCCCTAAGAAGAATAAAGGTGAAGAGCAGATGAGCCGGGAGATGAACGAGAAGAGATACATGGTAAGCACCGCGCGTTGGCTGTTGCTGGGACGCGTGGCGTCCGTTATCTTGTGCGCTTACAGAAAGGTCAGGGATCGCTAAGGAGCTCGCAATTGTTGATGCCAAAGGAGGTAGGGTATGGATGGCCATTCCACACCTACGGATAGGCAGCAGCTTCGCTTTCTGTTCCATCCGGCTCTTCGCATCGCTTACAATGGTGACGGTGGCTGGTATGCCTCACAGCCCAGCAACTGACTCATCGAAGGGGCTTCCACGGCCACACATGTTGTTCATCTCGCCCCACTCGTCGCTGCGCTGCGATCTGCTGCCCCAGATCAGGCCGCACAAGAAACGACGAGCGGCTGCAGCTCTTGCCAATGAAGGCGGCGCGTCAGGCGATGGTGCAGCGATGGGAGAGGACGGACAAGAAGATCTTGCTCTGCAACTCAGATCCGAAGTTGCCAAGAGAGGCTTGGACCCAGGTAACCCAACCGATGACTCTCGCACAGAGAGGAAACCAAGTCTGCGGTGTCTGTCTGTGTGGTTGGAGCAGTTGGAGCGGTGGGCGAGAGAGGGCCAGCCGAGTTCACCTCGCCCCGTCGGCTCGTCGAGTACGTCATGCGGGCGCTCAGAGACCGACGTGACGCGGCCGACGATGCCGGCGTCAGGGAGACTTTTCGATTCACCGCCAACCACGCGGGCCGCCAGACGCTCCATGGGGAGCCGTCGAGCGATGAACGAATGGATTGGGCGCAGACGAGGATACTGGGAGGTGAGCAACGACCGTCGTGTGCGTGTGTGTGCATTCTTGATTCGACTCATTTGGTGTCTGTCTGTGCGCAGGTCTGCCTGTGGGTCCCACGCTGACCTACGAGGCCTTTCGGCAAATGATCGAGACGCTCTATCCCTTCCTGATGGACTTCACCCGATACGAGGTCGGTCAGGTCACATCGATGGACGCCCCCAACGCACCACACCTTTCTGTCCATGGTCACTCTGCAGATTATGGATCGGTCGACTTTGCTGTCCCCATCGAATGAGAGCGATGACGTGATGGTCTTCTTGGTCAAGGTCTGGGGCAGCCGGGCGGCGGCAGACGAGCAGACTGTGCGGCGGGGGGATGGGCGGGATGAGAGGAGCAGGACGGTAGCTGTGCGGCTGGTCTACAACTGGGCCAGGTGGTGTTATCTCATTTATCGCGTCGACGTCCTGGGCTAGGGGCGGGCTGTTCGGGTGGCGTGATGTGTACTGTGGGACAGGACAGAGGAGCTAGCTGCGTAGATGGGTTGCAGACAGAAGCTGTTTGGTCGTTGTAAAGAGACGTCTATGGCGATGTCGGCATCGTCGTGCCCATCTTCATGTTGGTTGTGCGTGCTGCGGCTGCTGGAAACCTGAGATGGTTTGAATGAACAGACGAGGACATGCTGCATGGATGAACGAACGAATCATGGATCATTCCTTAGCTGATTCGGTCGATCTGTCGCTTGCGTGTCTGCCTCGCTAAGTGTCGCATCGATCGTCCACGCCCGCCAGCAGCCAAACACACGTGCGCCAATGCAATCAACCCATGCATCGAATCGATCCATCAAAGCACTGAGCCAGCCAGCCATGGAAACTACCAGACACGCCCAAACACTCGCATGCATACAGGCAGGCACCAGGGCCGGCCACAGCACGGAAACGCGCAAAAAAGGGGACGGCACGGAGGGTCTCTGTGTTTCTCTGTGTGTGTGGGGTGCGCTGTCTGTCTGTTTGTCTTGTCGGTTAGTCTGTCCGTCCACTCACACACATCCCAGGCAGGCCACACACACCACCCCTCCCCCTCCCAGCACCCACTAGCTATCCCATCACTGCTCCTGTCTATCCTAAAGCTCAGTCAAAGAGCGGCCAAAGGTCAGAGACCGCGGCATTGGGCAACTAACTGGCGCTGGCAGAGGTGGTGTGGTGTGGTGTAGTGTGCGGGTGTGTGTGTGTTTGTCGGTTCGGCTCACCGTCTGCCAAAAAACAAAACCAGATTGATAGCCACCCATCCACGCAATACCTGGGTGCGTTTCGTTATGTGTGGGTGTGTGTGATGGTATCAAAACAGATGCAGAGCTGCGTGCGTGTGGCTGACCTGTGTGTATCAGACCTCTCTCTCTCTCTCTCTCTCTTTCTCTCTCTCTTTCTCTCTCTCTCTCTCTCTCTCTCTCCCAAAAAGCAAAATCACTGAGAGAGACAATACAATACAATACAACACAACACAATATAACACAATACAATACGAACGGACAGGCGGACGACCACAGCACCACAACAAACACTCATACTCACCAGTGAGTCACCATACAGCCAGGCGGCCACAGCATTCTCACACACACACTCCCCCTTCAGCACGTCCATCTGTGTATGTGTGTGCGTGGTGTGTGTTGCTGGTCTATTTGGCGTGGCCGTCGCGGTCGCGCTTCTTGCCCTTGCCCTTGGACAGCTGGGCGTAATTGATAGGTTCCTGGCCGTTCTCCCGCTTCTCCTGCAGACGGGGCGACATCCGCACCCCCTCCCCCCCGCCCACGGCAGCCTGGTTGTTGCCCTGTGTGGGGCCACGGCGGACACGGCGGCGCTTGGAGCCACTGCCACTGCCACCACCGCTAGCAGCAGCGGCGGCGGCGGCGGCGGCGGCCGGTGCCGGTCCGTCGTCGATGTCCATCTTGTCATCGTCGATGTCCATGTGGTCGTCGGGGATGCCGTAGTTGACCTCGGGGAAGGGCGGGTTCGGCGGCATCACGGGAAACCCTACATGGGATGGATGGATGGAGACAGAGAGAGAGGGGAAGAGGTGATGGGTGGGTGGTGGGTATCTCTCTCTCTCTCTCTGTGTCTCTCTGTATCTTTGTGTGTGGGCAAGGGGGGCAGGAGGGAGGGGGTTTGTGTCTCCTCTCTCTACCATACGTATACGTACCCTCAGGATAGTTGGCCTGCAACTCGCCCAGGAAGTTGTGGTACCTGCACACACAAACGACAAGAAGCAAAGAAGAGACGTGTCCATCCAGCTCTCTCTCTCTCTCTCTCTGTGTGTGTGTGTGTGTGTGTCTGTGTGTATGTGTGTGTGTGTGTGTGTGTTCTCCTTGGCCCACTTACTTTGTCTTGTCAACGATGTCGAAGAAGGGGTGGTACAACGCCTGCACAGCCGTGATGCGACGGTCCGGCTGATACGGCAACATACTGAACATCCACAGACAACCGCATCCACATCACACACATGATCCTCACACCACCTCACCGCTCCCCGGCCCACCGAGTGATCAGATCCACCAGCAGTGAGTTGCGATCCACATCGGTGCGGCCATAGGGATGGTACCCGGCGGCCTCGGAGATGGAGTCGTCGCTGCGGCGCAGCAGCGCAGTGATGCCGTCGCGCGGGTCGCGCACAGACTTGGGGAAACTCTGCACACACACAGACACACAGAGAGATAGATAGATGAATGAGTTGTGTTGTATTGTCTTGTGTGGGGGGGGCGCACATTGAACTGGTCGGCGTAGGTGAACGCTTCGCTGCCCGGCCAGATGGCATTGGTGGGGGTGCCCAGCGTGTTGAGAATCTTCATCAACGTCTCAAACTGACAGACATGTGGCAACACAGACACAGACACAGACAGACACACACACGTAGACACGGACAGATGGGCACACAGGCAGACAGGTGTGTGTGTGTGTGTGTGGTGTTTGGTTGTGCAGCGCACCTCAGTGTGGCCGTTGAAGGCCGGCATGCCGCTCGTCAACTCTATGAAGATGCACCCAGTGGACCTGACGACGGCACGTGACCCACACACATACACACACCACAGTGCACAGGTCTCCTCCCTCTCCCTCTCCCCCTCTCCCCTCTCTGAGTGTTGTGCCGTTTGTCGGCTGACCAGATGTCCAGGGCATAGGTGTACTTGAAGTTGGCCGGTCCCATGAACAACTCGGGCGGGCGATACCTGCACACACACCAACACACAGAGAGAGAGACACTGCTGAATGCACTGTGCGATGCTCTGTATGTCTGTATGTGTGTGAGGGTGTGAGGGTATTGGGTTGTGTGCTCACCACTGAGTGGCCACCTTGTGCGACATCAACTTATTCGGAATCTTCACCGTGCGGGCCAAACCTGGGGAACGAACACAGAGAGAGCAAAGAGGCGGAATGGATGGATGGATGGATCTCTTGTGTGCGGTGACTGACCGAAATCGGCGATTTTGACGATCCAGTTGTTGGTCATGAGGATGTTCTGCGGTTTCAGGTCACGGTGGATGACTGCACACACACGCACGCGCATACAGAGATACATCAGAACTTGGCTGTGGACAGAAGAATGGTGGGTATGATGTGCGCCATAGTGCCAGGATGGCGTACGTCCTTTGCAGTGCATGTAGGCGATGCCGTTGAGTATCTGGTACATCACGCGGGCCAACTGCTCCAGCGTCGGCACTGCACACACACCAACACACACACACATACAAACCAACACGTGAGCCCCTGCCTCTCTCCCTCTCCCTCTCCCTCTCCCTCTCCCATGTGTGTGTTGTCGCTGTGTGTGTGGTACCTGTGTTCTTGGTAGTTTCTTGGGGTTCCAGTAGGGGAAGTTGATCTTGTTCTCCTTGGCACAGATGGTACGGAGGCGTCCGAGGTCGCCGGCCTCGCACAGCTTGAAGATGAGGTACACGATGGTGGCCATGGGGTCGGAGGGGTCCATGTCCACCTTGTGGAGGGTGACGATCTTCATGTGGCCCCTCAACGCCATCAATGCATTCACCTGGCACACACACACACATACACGGAAAGATGGCGGGGACGTGAAGGAGATGAGTTTGTTGTGGTGCGTCGTGTTGTGTGTGGGATTGCCAACGTGTGGTAGGCCTCTCACCTCGCGCATCGTGGTGGATTCTATGCCCTCGCCCCCGTTCCACTTCCTCATCTGCACACAACAACGCACCATATCACACCAAATGCACGGCGGGTGAGAGAGACGTCACCATGAGTTCCCCCAGGATGATCAGTCAGTGGCGTGGTCACCTTCTTGATGGCCAGCGGTGTGCCCTTGGGGACCTCAGCCAACGTGCGATTCGTCACGGCAGCTACACAGCTATAGACACCTGCACACCAACAGAATACGCAGACAGATGGAAAGAATGAAAAGGAGGTAGTACGTAATGGAAAGCCTCAAGAATATGCCAATACATCCAGCCACGCGTCCACGCACCCACACAGAGCAAAATGCACCATCCATCCGACTTATTCCATCCCGCCTCCCTCAGTGCATCGCGTCCCACGCCGTGTCTCACGCTTCCCCGGCTCCTCTCACCCTCCCTCTCGTCTCTTTTGGCTCACCTGCTCCGAGCATACGGACGAAGTTGAAGTTCTGGACCACATAGGGGTCGTGCTCCATGGTCTCGGCGACTTGCGCCATCCTCAACAACCCAACAACTCGCAGAAACCTTCGATACGGCCTTTTAGGCGGCTGGGGGCGATACTGATCAGACGGAAGGCACTGTGCATGCGAGTGGGGGCGTCTCGATCTACACGTGTTGGCCAACGCGTGAGGTCGGCTGAATCAATGTTACATATTATGTGCTAGATGATTCATGGTATGCTGATCATTCAGCCAAACCCAGAGAGCGATGCAAAGGCCGACAACTCCAAACAATCCTCTGCTCAGATGAGTCCTGCGTTTACATCACCATGGCTCCTGCACCGTTATGCGGCCGTGCCAACAGGGACGTCAACCAGGAGGCAGGCCTCTGCTAGCCACGCGCACGACTCAAAGGGGTCTGCAAACCTCCGAAGACGCAATTTGAGGCCATATTATCGACGATGTCAACTCGCACTGTTTGCATCAAACAGCCGGTTCGATATGCATCATGGTCAACAAGCGTCATGCGACAAGCGCTAGCCCGTCTCCATCAGGTTGTGATTGCCACGGCATGCACCCTACACCGGACGTAGTCAGCCAACCACACATTCCCCTTCTCGTCACCAGTCAGCTCCCCCTCCCACCGGCCAAACACATCGTCACTCACAGGCCGATACAGCCGCCCCTTTGCCCGCTCCTGGGCATCCTGCTGCATAGCCTCGCGCTCATCGCCGCTTATACCTTCGAAGAAAGAATCACCGAACGTCGTCAGCCTGCAGTGCACCACAGAGAACCAACATAGATGACCACCGCGTCTCTGCCGGCCTGGCTGCGTCCACATCCATTCATCCGTACCATCCGGCGACGTCTGTGGGGAGGGGTGTCGGCCGGTCGATCAGCACACATGACCGGACCTCAAAGCCATTCGCCTCCAGCAGGGCCGTGTACTCCTCGGCTGTGGGAAAGAACCACGGGTGCCGGCTGTCGAAGTCGGAGTGCCCGCGGGCAGCCAGCGCCTCCTTCACTGAACGACGAACAAGGCAGCATGGCATCGAGTCACCCCATCCCTCCCTCGCACTGGCTTACGTGCGTCGACGATGCACTGTATGTTGGCGTGACCGCCAAACTCTGCGACGAACCGCCCGCCCTTCTTGAGCAGCCCTCGCACATTCCGCACCACCTTTGCCGGGTCGCTCTTCATCCAGTGCAAAGCC